GCTGCAGAGTTGCATGGTTGCAACAAATTGTGTTCTTGCAAAACCTGACACAGTGACTCTCTGTACCTTTACAGAAAAATTTACTCACCTTGTTGTAGAATACAAAATAACACGAAAATAATCATCCTTATGCAGGTGTTGCACCCCTTGTGATCTCTACCAGGTAAACCAGAAGTGAGATTGCTGGGTCATGTCACCTTTGTGTTTATTCTCGGTCTGTTTCCATCTTTGGTACTGCCACCACTCTGAGGCCATTGTCTTTATTTAATGGAGGCATGATTAAGTTACTTAATGTCACTTACTAATGTTAGAGTCTGGGTCTCACTGAATTGCTTAGTGCCTTGCTGTTGCTGAGGCTGGCTTTGAACTTTTTTAAATGTCTTTAGTTGGGGCTGGGGTTGTGGCTCAGCGGTAGAGCGTTCGCCTTGCACGTGCAAGACTCTGGGTTCGATCCTCAGCACCACTTAAAAATAAAGGTATTAAAAAGGAAAAAAAAAACAATGCCTTTAGTTGTAGATGGACAAAATACCTTTATTTTATTTTTTTAAATGTGGTGCTGAGGATCAAACCCAGTGCCTCCCATGCCAGGCAAGTGTTCTACCACTGAGCTACAGCCCCAGCCCTGGCTTTCAATTCTTGATCCTCCTGTCTCAGCCTTCCCAGCTGCTGGGATTACTGGCTCTTGGTCCATCCTTCCTTCCTTCCTTCCTCCCTCCCTCCTGTAATCCCAGTGGCTCAGGAGGCGGAGGCAGGAGGATCCTGAATTCAAAGGCTGTCTCAGGAATTTAGCGAGGTGCTTAGCAACTCAGTGAGATCTGTTGGCACCAAGGGGCTTGTGGCTGGTCCCAGGACAGGCAGGGCTCCTGTCAACATGCTGGGATGGCACAGGACCCTCACATTTCCAACCTAAAGGTTTCCTTCTTCCTCTGGGAAGCTTCTTTTTCTCTTTAGAACTGTGAGGAAGTCTGGCGTCTGAGGCTCAGTACTGTCTGTACAAAGCACCTTGCAGGGCTCAGGAATCTGCAGAGGAGAGGGTCCACCCCTAGTGATGCTTCTCATGCCCACTGGGGGCCTAGCCTCAGGGCCCTGGAGCCTCTCCGTGTGCACTGCACCTTTGGTAGGACATGGAACTGACAGGAAAACCAATTGTTTTGGATCCATTACTTTCTATTTTTTAGAGCTTTTTTTTTTTTTTTTTTTTTTTTTTGGTTATGTTTTTTTACAGTCTCTGGACCACTGGTCCTTTTCTTTGAGGTCATGGATACCTTGCATGGCACTTTTCTGTCATGTCAATGTCACTGAGATCTGAGAAGAGAGAGAGGTATGTGCTATTGTTTTGTTTTTGTTTTTAACCTTAAATTTATCTTAAATTGGAAGTAAAAAAAAAATATTCCTAAAGATTTTTTAATCTTTTTATGAATTTGAAAATGAAAAGCATTTATTCACATGTCTTCATATGGCCACTAGAGGGTTCCAAAGATTGTAGTAAAGGGAAATCAATGAGGGATTAGAAATTGTAGAACATATATGGAAAATGTGTTTATTCACTTAAAACTTGCTGTCTTAGCACCCTGGGCTACTCACCTTGGTTTCCTGTTTGTCAGACTCCTTGCATTAGCCTCTCGTCCCCTGCCATACTTCCCCTAAGCTTGTTCTCTATCAGTGATACCTGGTTGGCTGCAAATGAATCATATTCCAAGAATTTTTAAGTCAAGCATTTACAAAATGAAATGTGTTCTCCTACAGAGGGAGTAATATCACTGGTCCCTGGTATTGAGGAAGAATCTTGAAAACCTTAAATAGGTGCACTTTAAAAATTCATCTTAAGAAAATGAAAAGATATAAAAATATTTGTACAAGTTGGAGCTGATGAAGGATTGTTCTCCAAAATAAATAACTCTTAACACTCAATAGTAAGAAAAAAAGCCTCATTAAAAAATGGGCCAAAGTGGAAGGCTGGGGCAGGAGGATCGCAAGTTCAAAGCTACCCTTAGCAACTTAGCAAAACCCTAAGCAACTCAGTGAGACCCTGTCTCTAAATAAAATATATAAAGGGCTGGAGTTGTGGCTCAGTGGTAGAGCACTTGCCTAGCATCTGTGAGGCACTGGGTTCAATTGCCAGTACCACATTAAAAAACCAAAACTAAATAAACAAAAAAAGGGGCTAGGGATATGGCTCTGTGGTTAAGCACCCCTGATTCAATCTCTAGTACCAAAAAAAAAAAAAAAAACAAAAAGATGAGGGGAGAGCAAAGACTTGACCACATCTCCCTAAAGAAGATAGAGGGCAAACACATGGAAAGATATTCCACATCATGTCATCAGAGGAATGAGGATTCAAACAATGCAGTACCCACCACCATACCCCATTCAAATGGCCCAAACCAGAACATTACTGTCACATGTCACATGCAGACAAGAAGGGGAGCAACAGAAACTGGTTGATAGCTGGCAGGACTGCAAAACCTTATAACTACTTTGGAAGACTATGGGGCAAATTTTTTTTTTTTTTTTGTACTGAGGATTGAACCGAAGGATGTTTCATCACTGAATCACATCCCCAGTTCTTTTTATTTATTTATTTTTATTTTGAGCAGGGTCTTGCCAAGTTGCTGAGGATCTCACTGAGTTACTGAGGCTAGTCTCAAACTTGCAATCCTACTGCCTCAGTCTTCTGAGTCACTGTGAGATTACACGCATGTACCACTGTGCCCAGCCAGTTTGGCACTTAACAAAAGTAGACATACCATATAATCCAGAATGGGCTTTCTGGTATTTATCCAAAGGAGGTAAAAACCTAGTTCCACACAAAAACCTGTGTATGAATATTCATAGCAGCTTTATTTATAATTGCCAAAACCTGGAGGCAATCAGGATGTCCTTCAGTGAATGAATAGATAAATGTCCAGATGATGGAATAGTATTCAGTGCTAAAAAGAAATGAGCATCAAGCCATGTAAAGACATAGAAGAAACTTAATACATACCAGAAAGTTAAAGAAGCCAAGCTGAAACGGTCACATACTATGATTCCAACTATATATATACTCTTCTGGAAAATGCAAAGCCAGAACAATGAAAAGATCAGCTGTTTCCAGGGATTACACAGGAGACAAGGAGCATAAAGGATTTTTAGCATGGTGAAAATATTTTGTATGGTACTATAATAGTAAATACATGTCATTATACATTTGCCAAAACCCATAGAATATACTACATCAAAAATGAAGCCAAATATAAACTTTGAATTTTGGGTTGTCAACAGAGAAATCACCAGAAGTGAGACTCGAGCTCAACTTAGGAAAAGTGAAGTCCTTGACCTACGTGGCCAATATTGATTTCCAGGGTGTATCAGTAAAGGCACGGACAGTGATTCATTAGGAAATCAGATGCACGTTCAAGGGAGAACGTGGGCTATTTCAAGAGAAAGATGTCTTAGGATAAACCAAGAAATACACATTAAAGAAGAGAATGTGGGCCATCTAAAGATTGAGACAAATTTTGGGGTTCCCACTTCCTTTTTTAAAGGAAACTTGGTGAGCACTGTGTATGGGAAGGAATGTAAGAATCATCTCAGTCTGGTGATCACAAGATTGTTTATGGTTTGATCATTCTTAGAATTCTTAGGCTGATATGGTCTCCATTATCTGATCAATTAACACTGGAAAGTCCCCTAAATTTTAGGTTTTCTTAAAATATCTGCCGTTTGCTTAATATATTAGTGGGCTAATTAACAGTGCATAAGGTAATTATAAGTAAGGGAATTTATGGTTACCTGCAAGATGTTCAGATGTCCCAGAAATTTGGGAGTGACAGATCTGGGCTAGAGCTTGGCTTTAGGAGTGACAGGCTTGGAAAGGTAGGCAGAAACCTCAGGTTAAAACTAGATTTCCGGGCTTGGGAAATAGCTCAGTTGGTAGCATGCTTACCTGCCATATACAAGGCCCTGGATTCAATCCCCAGCACCACAACAAAAAAACAAATTTCTTTGCTTTTCCCTCCCTCCCTCCCTTTCTTTCTTTCTCAGGGGCACTCAACCACTAAGCCACATCCCCAGCCTTATTTTGTATTTTATTTAGAGACAGGGTCTCACTGAGTTGCTCAGTGCCTCCCCATTGCGGAGGCTGGCTTTGAAAACTCGCAATTCTCCTGCCTCAGCCTCCAGAGCCACTGGCATTACAGGAATGCGCCACTGCACCCGGCTTCCTTGCCCTTTCTTTAGGATTTCTTTCTGTTTTTTACTTCTTCTATCCCACCTTAGGGGAATAATGATGTGCCGATGTGGGCTTGTCCTTTATAACTACCTACCACCTTAGAAAGGGCTGTTGATAATGGGGCACATAGGCTACGTGTGCCTGGAGCTCGATTTTGTTGTGAACCTGGAACTGCTGGGGAGAAAAGTCTAAAGTTTAAAAATCAACGGCAGAATAAGCAAATCGAATAAGAATTATTTTTGAAAGTTTGCTAGGTTTTGTTTTTGTTTTTTAGAAAAACCAGATCTAAATGAAAGAAAAAATAGAAAATAAATTTTAGAAGATTTCTAAGGATGCATTTGTGTTTTTAGATACCGGTTCCTTATTATAAGAATAGATTATTGGTCATCTTTTTTCCTTGATATGAATTTTCACTGTTCTCAAACGTAACAATGAGTGAGGTCATCAGGTGTTTACAAATGAGAAGAAAAGCAAGGCAAAGAGATTCTCCCAAGATCACTGAGCAAAAAACGAAGGGAGAAGGTCGAGAAAGGAAGTAGGGAGTAAAAGGCAATGAATGAACTGGGCAGAGAAGGCACTCCTTTCTCGGGCAGCTGCACGCAGACCCCAGCCTGCAGCAGGCAGTAATTGCAAGCCCCGCTGCACCTGCCGCCCCTCGCCTTCCTCTGCACACATCCAAGATGGTGCCGGGTGAAGCAGCCGCACAGCTCCGGGCTCCCTCCCCGAGCCGCGCGGGCGAGGGCGCGCAGGCGCGGCGCGACCTCCCTCCCGCCCTCTGCGGACCGCGCCTGCGCCGTGGGGAGCCGCCAGCGGCAAGGCTCTGGGCGGCCGCAGTCTCAGTCTGAAGGCGGCCGCAGCGGCAGTCTCGAGTAAGATGAGGCTTCTGCTGCTTCTCCTGGTGGCGGCGTCGGCGGTGGCCCGGAGCGAGGCCTCGGCCAACCTGGGCGGCGTGCCCAGCAAGAGGTTAAAGATGCAGTACGCTACGGGGCCGCTGCTCAAGTTCCAGATTTGGTGAGTGGTGCTCCGGCCCTGACGTCGCGTTTTACGCGAGGCCCCGGCTTCGCGGCCTAGACGCCGCGTCTCCGCTGCGTCTTCCCGGCGCCCCTCCGCAGTGGGCCCCTGGTGGGCCGCCGCGGCCGCGCTCGGGTCTCGGGTACAACCGCTCGCTTGCCTTCTGCCGGCTGGGAAGGCGGGACGGGGCGGGAGGGCGCTAGAAGGGTGGACGCTGCGGGCGCGGACGAGGGCCGCTGGCGGCGTCACGCGGAGCCCACGCCGGCGCTCAGCGCAGCGGGTGCGGCTCGTCGCCCGCCGGGGCCGACCCGGAGCGCCGGGCCTCAGTAACCGCGGCGGCCCTGGGTGGGAGCCGTTGCTCGAGCGGCGGGACTGTTCGCCCTGCCGCGGTGGTACACCGGCGGTGCCCGGGTTGCGGGCGGCGGCTGGGTCGCAAGGTGGGGACCGCCACGCGCCCGCGGAGCCCTAGCCTTTGGAATGTCGGCGTTGCCCCGGTTCGTCCCAAATCGCTTCCCAGCCCCTTGGGTCGGCCCCCGAGTCCGGTGCCGCGCCTTCCACCTGCGTTTGGCCTCATCATTGAAAACCAAGGATTTTTTTTTTTTTTTTTTTTTAAGTTTGTGACATTTGAACCAGAGTCAAAATAAGATGGTGAAACTATTTTTGGAATGAAAACTGTTATTTATTTCTGGTTACAAGAATCACAGAAAAGAACTTTATGGTATTTGTGTGTCTGGAATATGTCATGTTTCATATAATAACTAAGAAATGACAGTAGGGTCTGAGGGTGTGTGCGCGTCCTGGAGAGCCAACCAGGACCTAGTCATGCGGAGCACACACTCTACTGTTTTTTTGTTTTTTTTTTAAATTACAAAGTGGTGATCATTTTAACAACCTAAAAGATTGTTAAGGATTAAGTGTGAAAGTGGTTTTAAAAAGAGTGCTCTTTTCTAGTTATATTTTTCTATATTCTACTGTCCTATTTCTTGCTTGTGCTTTTGCCTTTTCAAAATACTCTTTTAGATTTTCATGCACTGGAATTCTTGTTACAGTTTAAGGTGTACCTTCTACTGAAGTTATTCATAACAAGGTTTTCAAAATATGTAAGCAAAATATAGGGCAGGGCACACAGGACTTCATATGAGGTTTTTTTGGTTGGTTATTTTTGTCGTACTAAGGATTGAACCCAGGGCCTTGTACATGCTAGGCAAACTATACCACTGAGCTACATGCCCAGCCCTTTTTCAGTTTAATAGGTGGTCTCCTTCAATGGCTCCGGATGGCCTTGGACTTGTTTTTCTCCTTTCCTCAGCCTTCTGAGTATGTGTATAACCATGAAGGGGTGCTCATTGAGCTTTTTAAAAAATTCATAACTTGATATCTAGATGCTTAACTTTTTAAAAATTTTGTTTTAAATATGACTTGTTTCTGAAGTCTACAGAGTTTCATTTGCAGTCATTCTGAATATGTTACATAACAAAAGTGCTTTCATTTTTTGGGGGGGGAGGAGGGGTAGTGGAGATTGAACTCAGGGTGCTCCACTGAGCCACATCCCCAACCCTGTTTTGTATTTTATTTCCAGACTGGATCTCACTGAGTTGCTTAGCGTCCTACTTTTTTTTTTTTTTTGCTGAGGCCGACTTTGAACTCTGATCCTCCTGCCTCAGCCTCCTGAGCCACAGATTACAGGCGTGTGCCCCTATGCCCTGCTTCCATTTTTTTTTTTTTTTAAATATGCACATGGGAAGTAACTTGTATTATGTCCTACTAAATAGAGATAAATTTAGCTGCTTGTGTGTTGCTTTTCCCCTGCAGAGATTAATCTGTTTGTAATAAAGTGAATATTAAGTTTCTGGTTTTGTTAGATTCTTGAACATTCATTTGCAAGTTTGGGAAAGGAGAGGAAGCTAATGTCGTTCAGGATAAAATGCATGAAAAATGAAATTTTGTTTGAAATCTCAATGCTATGAAATGAGGTTTTTCTTAACATTTATGAAAGCACTACTTTTACTTTCAATTGATTTACTTTGCTCTGTGTTTTGAATTTATTAGATGTAGTTTTTGCTAAATAACTATAGTTCAACATATCTGGTAATTACACCATTTTTATAATTGTTAGAATGAAATAGCAGTACAGCACACAATGGAATCAAATTGGGGAGAGGTCAGGCTTGTGACAGCATTTCCTACTCTGTGTTCATGTATACTTTTTGAATAAATTTATTAGTACTCAAAGATTTCCTGGTGAATGAGACAGGTGTGATACCTCATAAAGTTTGCAAAAATGGTTCAGTATTATTCTTTGTATCTGAGTCTTTGGCTTTTTTGTTGGTTGTTTGAACGATAGAATTTGGTAATTTTGAAGACATTGATTTTATATTTGTGAAAAATTTGTTCTGGTTATTTAGGTTACTAAGCATTGAAAGGAAGTTCTTGCCCTGCACAGTGGTCACCTGTAATCTCAGCTACTTAGAAGGCTGTCTCAGGAGGATTGCAAATTTAAGGCCAGCTTGGGCAATCCTATCCCAAAATAAAATAAAAAGGGCTAGGGATGTAGCTCAGTGGTCATGCACATGCCTTGCATGTGGGAGGCCCACCGAAGCACCACACTTGCATAAAAACCTTCTCTAATGGAGCTTACAGTTCCCTTGTTAACTTTGTTTGCTTTGCATTTTATGTGTGTATTCAAAGAGATGATATTTGGCATATGTTTATTTTTTTCCATGTATATGATTTAACATGTAATCAAATCTGTAGTTGCTGCAGTTTAAAAAGATTACTGACTACAACCTTTACAGTTGATGTTTACTTGAACATTTGACAGTTGGATTACTACTGAGAAAAGTAGGTTAAATGAAGTTAAGATTTCAAAACATAAGCAGAATATGGCAGAATTGTCAAATTTTGTTAATTACCCACTGCTGTAATTGTAGGACATCCAAGTTCTAGCTGCAGTTTAGGTGGTATGAGAGTAATCTAGTTGGGATCAGGAAGCAAATTTTAAACTGGGATTCAAGTGATAAGATTTATTTGGAATGAGCTTTATAGGTAATGGGAATAATGGACAGTGGCAGGAAAGAACAGAGTTTACATGAGAAGCCCAGCCGACTTCAAAGAGCAAGAGGCATAGGACTTTGAGTGTCTGTCAGGCCCTGTGTGAGAGAGACCAGCTAGCTTCATTATGGGAAGGCACGGAGTGGGGCTTCTGGAGTTGTCCATGGAAGAGATGATGGAGCTTGGGTTAGGGAGCTGGTCGGGGGAATGCATAGAGGTTTGAGAGCTCTCTGAGAGAGAAATTTAGCAGCTGTGGGTGATGAATTACAATTGGTCCTCTGTAACTGTGGGCTGCATATCTATGGATTCAGCCAACCTTGGATCAAAAATATCTGAGGGGGGAAAGTGGCATGTGTACTGAACACAAACACAAGTTTTTCTTGTCATCATGCCCTACAGCACAACTATTAACAGCATTGATACTTTTAGGTACTGTAAGTCATCTAGAGGTGACTCAAAGTATACAGGGGGTTGTGGGTAGTTGTATGCAAATACTACACTGTTTTATATAAGAGACTTGCACATATGCAGATTTTTGGTATTGGGGGGCAAGTCTTGGAACCAATCCCCCCCACCCCCCAAGGATATTGGAGAGATGTCCTGAAGTGAGAACTGTCCAAGATGATTTCTTTGGCGATGATGCTATGCCATTCCCCAGAATGAAGACAAAAGTTTTTTGGTGAGAAGGAAGAGAAGGAGTCTTGATTTATTTTTATCTACTTATTTCTTAACGTGCTGAGGATTGCACCTAGTAGACAAGTCTCACATTCCCAGTCCTTTTTATAATTGTTTTATTTTAAGAGAGGGTCTTGCTCAGTAGCTCAGGTTGGCCTCAAGATTGAATCCCCCTTGCCTTAGCCTCCCTAGTAGCTGGGATTATAGCTGTGCTCCGCTGTACCTGGGTTTGGAATCCTGAACTTTGAAAACGTAATAGTCAGAACAAAAACTCCATAAAGAAATGTTAATCATTCCAGAATACCTGTAGTAACAAACTAGAAAAGTTAAGTTAGCAGATGCTGTATTTCGCCAAACCAAAGATACAATGGATTGTTGGATGCACTATTATTTTATATATCATTTAGAAAGAAAATATACTACCATTTATGTCACAGTAATGGTCATAAGATAAATCCTGTGGGTTTTAATTTTGTTTCTTTTTTTTTTTTATGATGGTAACTAAATATGCATATTGGAATCAAATAACAGCAGACTATTATTTGTGGTAGAATGTCAGAGGAAAAAAATGGTAATGGCTACACCTATTGATGGTTTAGATTTTTAAAATTTTATAAAGTTTATATGGAATTTATAATTTTGTTTGCTTTGAATTTTTTGCCTTTTTTTTTTTTTTTACAGAACAGAAAGCTGCAACATCTAATTGAACATTGTGCACATAATAGTTGTCTCTCCTTAATAATGAATGAAGTGCTTAGTTCAAAGCTTTTAGATGTAGGTAAAATATGACTGAATGATTTTAAAGTTTCATATTCTATTACAGAAAATTGAAACATCATTTTCTTACAGTTTGCCATTAGATGACGGTTAGAAAATCAAGTCAAATGTATCATGTAAAAATTCAGGATAGGGCTGGGGTTGTGGCTCAGTGGTAGAGCACTTGCCTCACACATATGAGGCACTGGGTTGGATCCTCAGCACCAATAAAAAAAAAAATAAGCAAAATAAAGTTACTGTGTCCATCTACAACTAAAAATATATTTTTTTTAATCCAGGATATCCCTATAAATTTTGACTGTCTTGAACAGGAACCGCTCATTTTCTGGACTAGCAGTTTGGAGACCAGGTTCTTATTCTGTCTAACCCTTATGCTCTGAGTAATGTTTGGTAAATGAGTCATCTCATCAGCACTCAGCTTGTTCATATGTATAATGAGAGAATGTTGGTTGCTTTCCATTTACCTCTGATATTCTATGTTGTACTGTTAGAAGACT